ATTTACTGCAGAAAAAAGCAGTATATGAGTCTCATGTTGTAGAAGGAGTCTCCTTAAAGCATGCAACATTACGTGGCAGAAGCACAGAATCTCGCCAGGCATCCAGACATGTAAATTGTACAACGGGTAGGTGCTGTAAAGGCTCACCCATTCGAAATCGCTGGGGCATATTTAATCATCATAATCAGCTCAAAAGACATCAACAGAGTAAGCAAGTGGATGCGTATAGTGGGTTCTTTGCTGGTCTTTATTAGGAAGAATTACGGCCTTGTGAGGACCTTATGGCTGTATCTGAAGTGGGGAATTCTAGGATTGAAAATGAGTACTGCAGAAACTGGCAACGTGGTCGAATTGTTAAGAAAGGGAAAGAAGACAACTATCTGTTAGTAGTGCGAAGCAACGAGGAAATACATCTTGGAAAGAAGTTTCTTTGTTATCGAAAAATTCGTGCTAGTCTGGGGCTCATACCTGGGACCACCGCCTTTCTGTGGTAGTCGCTCTACCAATTGAGCTAACCGGGAAGCTAGCAATTGACAGCGCGAGAGTGAATTTATCGACAACTCGAAGCACACGGACACAAGTATTGCAAATGAGTTCCGCGGAAACCAGCGACGTGGCACAAAGGTTAAGAAAAAAAAAAAAGACAAGCACCCATAGTTTGAAACGCGCAGCCGTTCATTTCTTTATAGCACAGTTGAAGTATGCAGAGAGAAAAGAAGCTAGGCTGGTGAGTCAGAAAGCGATGCACATGATGCCAAATTATGCCTTTGCATTCTACTCCAGTTATTTTTCAAAAGTAAAACACGAAATGGCTGGGGATATTCATCGTCCACAGGCAAAAATGCCTGAGCCACTGCAGTTAGACAAGCCTCATTAATTGCCACGCGTCTGTTAACAATAAAGAAGGGGGCATTGGGGCAGCAAATGCTGAGGAAGATTATTGGTGGATTCTAATATGGCCTGGTGGTCTGGTCGATTCTCCTCAAGTGCCAAGGCAGTAAGAAGGCACATGCTACTCAGGCGGCTTCTAAGTTCGTTCACGAAAACAAAACACATGATGTTGCAAAGAGATGCATGCTGCACTAACAGGATGCTTTAAGTGAGCATACGTTGAAATCCGCAGCTTTCTGGGCAGATGTATCGGATATAGTGTCTCATTGTGTGATAAGGAATAGTTTGAAACTCTGCGCCACCTCGGTGTCATGTGCTAAGCAGCGCACGGCACCTCTGAGTAGAGGGGCTCCTAAATTTTTTTTAGTAACAATCTGATTTAAGAACACGTCTGGTAAAATGCTCCCTTCAGTTTTCTGCCATAAGATTTCTTGTGGTTAATGAAATATTGCAGTGGAGCTTAGTTAAGGTTCTTTTCTGAACACTTGACATGTTTTTCAGTAAGCCTATCCTGTGCACTTTATGCCCTTTCTGCACTGCGATTTTTTTACTCTAGTCCGGTTGTGGGCTGTTTTATCACTATAGTCGCCCTCCTTAGCAGTCTGCACCAGCCTTATCAACTTGTTTTCACGTTGGCGCTGAAATTGCCCTTTAGTGGGCTGCGCCACAAGTAAATAACTCATCTTTACATAGGTGCTGACATGGGCTCTCTGTTGGTAGCCTCAAAAAAGGACAGTGATCTTGCGCGCTATTAACATTTGCTTTATTATTTTTTTTCTTTCACAGGCAATCATTACATGGATGCTGGTCAACTGAAGGCAATACGTAGTGGTGCGGAGCTCGAAAGATGTGAAGATGGAATAAACAGGTTACACTCATAAGCTGTTGAGTGCATTCGCACTTGCCCTCTTCCTCTTTTCTGTTTATCTTAGAGAAGAGGGTACGAAGCATACACATACATGTAATAAGGTAGGCACCTGATGTCATGGAGAAGACAAGGCTGGTTGTTGAAACTTTGGCTCCAACAACACTGCGTGTTCAAGAATTTCCCACCTCATCGCTGTGCTAGGAGTACATGTCGGAAATCAAGAGAATGGAACATGGAATGAAATTGAAGGTGCTGCTACACCAGAATAGTGCCGATCCATAACCGTATCAACAGCGTCCCGGTGCAAACAGTGGTGACAGTGCATAATTTCCAGAACTCGCACTTCCTGGGGGCGAATAGAGCATTCAGAGTAGTTTGTGGAGTGACTGCCTCTACAAGGATAGCTCTTTTGTGATGTGGAGCACGCACTTGACGAATGGCTTTCTCTGCAGGTGTGGCAATGAAGGTTTGATTTGCGCCCTCCCACACTGAGGTCGAATCTCGAACAGTTTTTACATTTAATTGGTTGGTAAATGAGCGGCTCCACCAAAAAGTTAAGAAGCCATACCTTTATTTCAGACTGGCATGTTTCGCCCCAAATGTCGCAATGACAGATTTGGTTAGGGTCCTCTCTTTCGTCGTCAGGCAATTACAACGGTAAATGGAAATGACAACTGCTCTTGAAAGCCTGTCTACTGTCTTGGCTGGAATTATTTTGTGGTCGATGCCTCGTACAAGACCTTCAGTGCGAGCAAGGTGAGGTGGAACGAAGGCACTCGCTGGGGTTGGTGTAAACGAGAGACATTTTTAAGCAGATCCTGCACACAGGTATGGTCCGGTGACCTACACTCTCTACCTTACCTCTCGTACGAATTGGCGCACGTCACTGATGGTCAGAAATAATTTGATATGGCTTTCAGTTCGTTCTGGACAGCCTAGGGGTTCGTGACCCTGTTGAAACCTTTATTTTGTTCACAACAGTGGCTCGGAAATGCTGCCGACACCACTGCAAAAAAATGAATATAGAAATGATTCATCACGACGCCGACCTGGCGGATCAGAGTAAATTCAAAAGCAGATAATCAAGTAGAGACTCAAAAACAGACTGATCTAAAACCACTCACTCAGCCAACAACACCATGGCCGCCTTGGCTCACTCGTGCCTGGTGCGAACTTGTTGTTTTGACCTATAACATGGTTCGTACCCACTCAGGGGGATTAGACAAGAGTTGATTGTGATTTTTATGAATTTATTAGACATTTTGAGTATAAAGCATTGATGATGAAAAGAGGAACACATACGTAATTAGGAAAAAAGTGAAATAATTTTTGTACCCATTCAGATCAGACACCATAGTCATTATCTTGAATTGAAATGCAATAGCAAAAAACATTTCCTGTTTTTAATTAAATTGAAATTTGACTCCAATATACCGAAAATTTTCTATATTTGAAAGCGAAAGTCGGCTCCTATAACACTTTTTCAAGTAGCAATTTAAAGTCGCATTCACTTTGTTTCATGAACGCAACTACTAACGGCATCAAAAGTTTTCGAGGGGCTTTTCTTCTTTTCTGCTGGCCAGTACAGAAAATATCTACCGAACGCTGCCACTGTTGTAGAAAGGGAAAGGATGGCCAAATGGAGCCACTGCTCACAATGTTTTATTGACTGATTAGGTAAATATTTGCTCGAAATGGTGACTAGTGGCATGAGTGGGTGAATGTAACGAGTGCAAGTGTAGTGGCCTGAACTGTTAATTGTGCTGTTTTCACTAGAAGCAGCACATTCCTGTTATTGGTAGGCGACTGTGTGAAGGCTGTTAGAACTTGCAGACTGCATACAGACCTTTTTACAGACGGCTTCCCGGGCGCCGCCGCAACATCTTTGGAGTGCACTATATAAGCGTGATCCCACCCACTCACCCAAAGAAAAAAAAAAAAAAAACTCCGCCCAGGTTGCGACATCAGCCTTTGTACTTCTGTGTGCAGCCTAGCATGGCGGTGTTTTTTTCTTTCTCGTGAAAAGGTTGATGATTGAGCGCGCTCCTTGAAAAGAGTGAAAGAAACGATTACAATAGCAGTTGCCAACTTAGATGCCAATAACACTGTCATCAGACGTCAACATCATTGGTAACACGTAGCAACTCTATTTACTGCTGTTTAGGCAAAACGGCTGCAGAGGTGTGCTTTAAAAGAGTAACGATTGAGGCGAAAAGGGATATCTGATCCGATGTTCGAATCCTAGATGAGCGCCTTTCCTGAGCTATCGCTCTAATTTCTCTTTATAGTGTGCTCCATGCACTCTCTTTGACGCCACAAATTATCAGAGACAATTTCGGGAAAGTGGTACTTTTTGTATTGTTTGTTGCACGGCGAATGTCACTCACAGTGTGAGTTTCACAAGCGTTCTCGCGCAAAAGTTCGACGCCTGATATAGTCTGCACAGCTGGTGTAGGATAAGTTTCACAGGTTTCTTACACTGGTGCTCAAAAGTAATCTGCAAGAGGCTCCAACACTGCCTCGGCGTACTGCGGCCTCAGCCTCCTGCTAGCCAGTAGCGTTCGGGCATCGTTGAGCGTTCATTAGACGTTTAAATTCAAATTGAAATTTGACTCGTTTTCACTGCAAGCGAGGCGAAAAGTCAAACAATTTGAAGGGACCCGGGGACTGCACGAGCAACGGTGACGAAACATTCACTTACCAACATTCAGACTAGAAATTACTGGGTACTTTGAATTGCTAAAATCGTTAGACAGCGCAAGATAAATATAGGTAAATGGAGAGAAAAACTGCCCCGGACCAGATTACCTTCTTGGTTACACTTGGAAATCTACTGCCCCTGCTGCCATCTTGCGCAAAGCAGTGAAAAGAAAGTAGATAGATCCAATACTCCTGTACTAATTAAACTCTCCCCTCCCTCTGCACAAACATCCCTCCCATCCCTCCGCCCCAGGTCATCGTTTCGAATAGATCGTTCATTTAATCAGTCTATAAAATTTTCCTAACAGTGGCCCGTTTGCCCAGTTCTCCCCATCTTCAATTATGGCGGCGTTCAGCTGGCCATGCTTTGTTCTTTTTGTTTCGTCGCCCACAGGGGAAACAGACTCGTACCCACGATGGGGGAGTGGACATATTTGCACGAGCCAGAGGCTAAGAAGAAGATGTGCCCGTGCGATGCAACATGCTCACGATTCCGATATCCTCCCTGTGCTACGCAATAATCACAGCTCTGCTTTCCTTCATGGGTATCGAAGACACGCCCCAGGTTCCGGCACTAACGCGCCTCGAAGCTGTGCGACTGTCAGCGCAACGTAAGTTAGTGCGTGACCCGGTCTGCAGCACTAAGGGTCGAGAGGACAAGTTCTGCTTGTGGCGAGGAATGGAACGACGGGACCGGCAGTTGGAGGGCGTCTGCTCAGCTGCACGATCAGAAGCCGACAACACGTCTTTCTCGACCTCAGACATTGGCGACGCCGATTCTGGCAACTCGTCCCGCGGTCAACCTACGTGTCCCAAGGCAAGTGTACTTAATTGCGCGTGAGAGCTGTAGTGGTTCATGTGCGCACCATATGAACCACTGCACCATGTGACCCCCCCTTGCCCCCCCCCCCCCCCTGTCCCCACCCCCGTACGCAGGACTATATGCCCAGAACTGCCATTTAAAAGAAAGCGTGTTTGCCATATCTAATATATGGGCTATTTGTGGAAGGGGTTAGTGTCAGGATCTCCAGAATGATCCAAAATGTGGAGACCCATTGTAAAGTATAGAGATTTTGTGCCGTGGTTATGTTTCAACACACAGTGATGGCGCGAGGTACCTCAAGAAAAAAATAATTGCTTGAGACAAGTTCCGCCTTTCTATAGCTTATCCGAACAAAGCGTCATGGATCACCACAGGCGAGTCAATAATGCGATCACCTTTTGACTATGTCGCATACATTTTACTCGTTCTTAAGGCGCAGGTCACTAGCCATGTACGAGGGCCACATGCGACACAGGGGCCACGTGTTTGAGAGCTCGACTGGTTACCGATGGACGTGGGCTTTGATCCCGTCCGGCGGCCCGTATTTCGGCAGCAGCAATATGCTTAGATTTAGGTGCGCGTTAAAGAGATCCGGGTGGTCGTAACTTCCGGATATTTCCATTATATATACGGGTCGCGGTTTTGGGGCTTAAAACTCCGGCAGCGATAATTACCTGTGTGCCGTTTCTCTCGCTCATAAGCTATACCTCCTCATGTTGTGCTTGCACACAAGTTATTGGCAAATTAACCACCGAGATTGATCCACAATCATTTGCTTTAATGTCGGCGCAAACTTTTGAAGCACCATTTTCACCTAACTCGTGCACGAGCGAAATTCGTGTCTCCTCCCCCTCCTTTTTTTAAATGAAGGAGATGAAAGAAGCACGCTTAAAATCCACGTGCTTATGCTTCCAGCTTTTGCGATAGTAAACAATATCAGCCATGGACCGTTTATCATTGCTGCATCGTCTGCTGAACGTTGACCCAGCCTATAGAAATGCGCATATTAACGTGCGCGTGCTTTAGGTACCGATATGACGCTCTACACACTTTTAATATAAGCAGTCAACGACAAGTGGAAGATTGTGAAAGCAGTCTCTCCGCGCCACTTCGTGCAGGACCAACTTCCGCACTGCGACGGTACGTTCCTGGACGCTGGTGTGAGACTTGTCAGGGACGAAGATTGCCTCAACGGGCCCCAGAGGCTCGTGGCCGACGGCTTCCTTACGCAAGAAGAGTGTGCAACCTTGCTGAAGCTCAGCGTGAGGATGCAAACACAACTTCTATATGCGCAACTATACAGCGTGATACTATAGTGTGTATGGACCGTGATAGTATAGCGTGTATGGACTTACAGGGTGTTTCAAGAAATGTGTCCAATATTATTTAAAAATTAGAGAAAGGAGACATCTGCGCGCTACCTGCGGCGTTCCTCTTACTGTGAAAGAAGGCATCTTCAGATGCGCGCAACAATTAATTACTGCCGTATCGGTAGGAATTGTACAATTCACGTGTATTGATGCCTGGCGCGATTGCGCGCTTCTGCCATGCACTAATGCACGCGTTAGGACATGGAGGAAGGAAAGATAGGAGAGGGCATGCCCAGCCGGCGCGCTACGTGAAAAGTTTGGAGGAAATGGCATCATGGCGGCAATATTCACTGCGCACAATGGCGGCGTTGCTATAATTACGTGTTGCGCAGCTTATCTGGTCTAGCATAAAAGGTACAGGGGCTTTAGTCTAGCAGTGAGCGGTCGCGGCTCGCGGCGGCATGTGTGCCTCCGCAGGTCCCGTGCTGAGCCGTGGCGGACAATATCCGTGCTCTGCGCCGCGTTATTGGTTACGCGGTGTTCTCCTGGCAGTTACTGTACTCTTAGCAGCGTTTATAAAACCTTTCGTCCACCACGGGGCCTGAACAGTGCGTAGAAAGAGCGCATATCTATGTGTCGTGCGGCGGATGATGCGGATGAAGTATTTGAAGTGTTCCGCGAAATTGCGTTGGGCACCATGACGAAGCGGAACGACGACGAACGCCTTGCAGGTCAGTGACGGTTGGGCAGTGCTCCTGTTTGTGGCAACGGACGAAGCTGTTGTGCCCAGCAAGATGCAATGAGGACCATGAGCACATACGTAGTTTTGTGTTCAGTATGTGTACAGTAATAACTTGTATGTGCGTAATGAAACAGCTTTCCTGCTCCGCTTGCTATACTCACCACCAGCATTGTAATCTCAACGTTAGAGCAACCGCGTTCAAGTGTCACTTGCAGCGTGCTCAAAGTCACCACGGTCGCAGAATGCTGACGCCGGTGAGTTTCACGCGGAACACGGACACAGTGGCCGGACGCTGCGTTGGCCTTGTGTCGGAATGCAACCGTATAAGAAGGCGCACGACCGTTCGTGATGTCTGTACAGTGCCTGAATTAATGACGTGAGCACACTCGCTGTTGTCAGTGCATCTAGCGCGCGTTCTCTTGTACTTGCTTCGTTGTATAGGCGAGCTGTTACTCGCTGGTAATATTCAGACGAAATGATTTCGCCGAAGGTTTCGCGCTGGCTCAGAGTGTTGAGCGCCGTTCCATTAGTTTCGGATCGTCACGACACACGCGCTGCGCAGCCCACGTGCTTTCAGAGCCGGAGAGAGAGTCGCGCCTTCTGCTTCACATTCGGATGTAAACAAGGGAGGAGAATTCGCCCAGTCAATATGGCCGACTTCCGGCTTCACCACGGCTTCACGAGTGATGTCAGAGCCTAAGTTTTTTTCCTTCCTCCGTGGTTAGAGACAAATGCGTGTGCAGGGTTGCCTAATGGGAGGAGGGGGGGGGGGGGCGTCACAGCGCCTGGCTTTTCTGCTAAGTCACGGCATGGGGCAGATGTTGCGCCCCCCTTAGGTGGCTATAGAGTAAGGCAAAAAATGAAGCATTCGTACATTTCGAAGCACTAAAGTACCGTCAAGAGGGTACTTTTTTTGTCAGTAAGCACATGTATAAAGGAGTTACAATTGACATTGGTTGCGGGCAAACATCCTAACGAGTCGCACTGCTATGCAATAGGTATGAGCACTGCGCGCTCAAATCCTTCTGCCTTGCCCGAGTGAAGGTACATCGCAGAGGGCGATAATCCCTCCCCCTCTCTCTCTTCGACCTCGGTAGGAGGCGCTAAGCCAGAAGCTTGGACGGCATGCCATGAATAGGGTTTGCGTTATATGCAAAGTAAAATGAGCTGTGTTACGGTAAATTATGTTTCACCGGTACATACGTTAATCGGTCCGTCGTTACTTTTCTTTCTTGCTTGGTTGCTCGTATGCTTACATGCTTGCCGTCTTTGTGGTAACAGTGGGAAAGTAAAATTTTGCGGGAACTACTCAACAACTCGCCCACGCAATTCGCAGGAGACCGCCATTAGCGGAAGCGGGTACGGCAAGCGCTTTCCGAATACGAAGTATGAAGACTTCAGTGGTGTCACGCTAAAGAATCTGAAGCAGGTAATTGCCCATGAATGAGACAATTATAATTCTAATCGCACAGATACATAATTTCTTGTATCTATCTATCTATCTATCTATCTATCTATCTATCTATCTATCTATCTATCTATCTATCTATCTATCTATCTATCTATCTATCTATCTATCTATCTATCTATCTATCTATCTATCTATCTTCTACTATCTATCTATCTATCTATCTATCTATCTATCTATCTATCTACTATCTATCTATCTATCTATCTATCTATCTATCTATCTATCTATCTATCTACTGTCTGTCTGTCTGTCTGTCTGTCTGTCTGTCTGTCTGTCTATCTATCTATCTATCTATCTATCTATCTATCTAGCTATCTATCTATCTATCTATCTATCTATCTATCTATCTATCTATCTATCTATCTATCTATCTATCTATCTATCTATCTATCTATCTATCTATCTATCTATCTATCTATCTATCTATCTATCTATCTATCTATCTATCAGAGAAAGTAAACAATTTTGCAGCGGCAAATGTTAGCACAAGCAAAAAAATATCCCCAACCTTCCCGAAGGGATCGTGAGGAAAGGCGAACGCATTTCTTGCGCCGAGAGAGGGTACCGTTGCCGTCAGACACTCGCTTTTACCGGCTTGTGCCATCGCCTTGAGGGGCGCCCAGCCAGCGAACCGTCGAGATTGAGGAGCGAGCCGATGGGATAGTGGGGCTCCAGCGTTTTCGGCTCGGCATTGGCGTTTCACAGTGGCGTCTCGAGCACACATTTCCGGATGTTCTTGAAAGGCGCCGAGCCAGCGAACGGTTGAGAGAATGGTGCGAGCGGACGGGAGAGTAGAGCGCAAAGAGAAGGGAGAGCGAATGGTGAGACAAAGAGCGGAGACGCACTGCACCTAGCTACCCTCTCCTACACTCTCGCAACAGATGCTCCGGTTGCTAGGGGCGAAGATAAGCGCACGTGCCCGCAGCTGTTTTTATGGGACTGAGAGCGGAGAGGGAACTCCTGCCGGCGCGTGGACACCGCCGCGGACAACGCCGGATGCCTGACATAGCCCCACTAAGAAATGCATTCGCATTTAAAACTTCGGTGCCCGGTTTTCAAGGAGTCATCGATTTTTGTATTCCCCAGCTTGTTGCATAATTTCAGCCCCGTGCGCCTGTCCTAGCTGTGTCGCACTTATAAGGCGTATACCGCGAAGGCCAGCTGTCAGGCGCACATTCGTAACGAAACAAGACACCATAACCGAATTTCCCCACTGCCTCTCTGTACACCTTAAATTGATCTGATAATTTGAGTGCGTCGCCGTGTGTCCGCTCATCTTCACAGCAACTCGAGAAGTCGACCATCGACGTCTCGGCCGCCAAGCTCGTGCTGCTGACTGCGGAGAGGTCTCGTCTCTACGTGGAAGCCTACTTCCGATTGAAACGAAGGCTCCACGCGCATTTCGTTCATCTGGCCTGCAGAAATGCCACCGAACGTAAGTGCATAAAGAAGTTGCCCGTACCAGTACCCAACATGGCATAAGCATATAAACTGGCAGCTCGCATGTGTGAGTAGGTGCCGCTGTGTGAGAATTACGGGGAGAACGCGGCATCCTTAAAGACGTTCCTCTAAACTTCGGTAGATACTGTCAACTGTTAAAGTACAGATACCCTATAGTCCACACAACCCACGCACTTTAGGAAAATCGATAACCACGTGTTATCGCGTCTAGGAAAAAAGGAAGATGTGTTGTACATGTAACGTGTAAATAAGCAAACGAAACAATGAGAAGTAAAAAGAGTAGTTACATTTTGCAAATGAACACTAAAACACCAATTTACCTGTGGGTATTCGACTCGGTGTACACAATTTAAAGAAACAGTAAACTATACCGAATTTTTCACATTTCGGAGGTTATCACGCATGCACGAGTACTATCGGGGGAGCTTCGTTAGTACGCAACAACTGGAAACTGCAGCTCTCCCTTCCTGACATTAGAGAGACGTGTGTGCCATCGTCGAAGAAAAACCTCTTCCCGGTGTTTCCAGCCGTTCATCGAGGTAATTCTACACAATCAAACATATGCTCTGGATTGACAGGTAGGCGCCTCTATGAGGTTTGCGGTGCGCTTCCACTAAACAGCGTCACCGCCACAGTACGTAAAAAAGTCACGGTAAAGGCCAGCCGTGTGAACAGTCCCTGCTTATGTTTTCGGGCCGGATGTGCGAAAGCCAAAGAGGCGTCGCGCCATGTGCCAGACGCTTTTCGCCACGGAGAGCTAGAACACAGCGTGTTGTGCCGTCTCCCTTCTGCCGCAGTTGGGGCGATGGTCATTTAGAATGGCTCCGCTTTGTGCTAACGTCACACACCTAGGCAATGCCCCGCATCTTCTGAATCAGTTAAGCTCACGCACTTCTCGAGGTACGTGATTGCAACGCCATAGTTTCCATTTTGCTGCGCTGAATTTTCTATTTTTCGCTCTTTACTATGTGTGCAACTTGCCACCATTTCACTTATCTCTTGGCATGAAACATCTGCCAAATTGCATGGACCTATTGATTATACTGTTATTTTCAAGGCACTAGGGATACTGTAAAATTGTATTTAGAAAAAAAATGGTTGATCATTTAGAGTACTATGCATGCAAACTATGGAGAGCCTCTTTCTTGTACTATGAGCTATATAGCAGCCAAAAGTCGAACCAGTGTTGAAATACGGCCACAGAGGTGCATGTGTTTAGTAAAAGTGTTCAACAATTTAGAATAGTAGGCACTCTACTATGAGAGAGCTTAAAGCCGTCCCGTGGGCCTCACACTTGAAGACGTGTGTTTAGAAAAAAAGTGGTTAAGGATTTAGAGTACTCTATAGGAGAGCTGAAAGTACTTAGTCGTGTGTTTAGAAAAAGTGGCTAACAATTTAGAGCACTCATAACGACGAGAAAAAGAAGTCTTAATAGTCTCTACGTTCTTAGTAATGTCGCTCTTAAAATCTTAATTGTCTCTACGTTCTCAGTGTTGTCGCTAGTTTTCTTCCGAATCACTACAACCAACCAATGCCTGTAATCTATGAATGAACCAGGGCATCTGGCAAATATCGTGAATTGAACGACAAGGAAACACCTTTTATGTTAAGAAGTCCGTCGTGATAATGTAGGTAAAGTATTATGGAGGTGTACGAAGAAAGGAGTTCTTGGTCTCTTGTAAAGTACAACAAAACCTCTCTTGCGGTTTTCAGAGCCTTCCATTATCATTCGTTTGTCCTCGATGACCTCACATTTAACGCGACGGCTTACATTAGACAGTGAATTTATTTGTACAAGATTTACTACCGAACAGAGTTCACTTTCTAGAAAACTTGGGGCTGCGATTGTAAAAGAAATGACAGGATGTTCCCGTAGAAGGTGGGCACAAGTTTGTGGTTACGAGACTTCAATGTCGATGACTGTATTATACACCCGACGCGTGGTAAATATAGGTAAGATGCGTTTAATGGCTTGGTGAAAAGAAAAATCGGGGATAACTGGAGTAAAAAAGGACATGCTACACGCGTAGGTAACCTTATATTCAACCCTCAGGTCACGGGATCGAATCATAGCAGCGGCGGCTGCATATCCAATATAGGCGGAAATGTTGTAGGCCCGTGTGCTCTGATTCGAGTGACACGTCAGAGAACCCCAGGTGGTCGAAATTTCCGGAGCCCTCGATTACAGCGTCTCTCATGATATGGTGGTTTTGGGACGTTAAACCCCACATGTCAATCATCAAATCAACGTTAAATTCAACAAAAGTTCCTGCGAGGAATAAAGAATCAAAGCCGGTTGCACTCCAAGTGAAAGCTGTACGTATACCGCGAAGCATCGATTTACCAGTGTTTTGCTTTGTATTTTATCTTATCTTCTGTTCATACGCTCTTTCCTCTCACTTTGTATTCTCTTCTTGTGTCTATCTGCTATTTTCTGTTCCTTTCGCGCGAATACGTGGTTTATTCGCCATGGTCTGTGTTCTGTTGTACGGCTTGATGCTTTCTGCTGTTGTATACGATTTGCTGCTCCAAGCGTAGTGCGTCTATACTAGGGGATAACTTTTGTTCGCAATGAAGGGAAAGCTACAGGGGCCGAGTTTCCGCACTTGTTACTGTGCGAAGTAGTCCGGTATGTCATGCTTTCCGTACTGCCGTGGAAAATGATGGCTGACCAGCTTTTCATATCGACGTGCCCCACTTGCAGCTCGAGATACGCGAAGAAGACTATAGGCTTTTCTCACGCGTCCAGAAACTCGAACTGACAATGATTGACTCGCTCTCTGGATTTCGTGCCGACCGCTTGTGCCTCCGCGATCTCCGACGACAGCGCAGCTCTGGTCGACTGGGCTCGCCCTACGCCATCTCCTGACGCCGACAAGACCTCTCGCCGAGTGGCGCCCCGTCCTCAGACTCCTGCGACCGTGCCCATCTTTCCTATCTCCTCTTTACTTCCGTCGTTTCCTGTCGTTCGCTGACCCTGCACCTCGCTCTCTCCTTCCTCTTTATATCTTTACCTTTTAAACCTATCCTTTTAATCCCTTCTTTACACCCACCCCTCGGGAGCTACTGTTGAGGTGTCCTCCCCTGAGAGACAGTTACGGGGCTCACTTTTCTTTTCATTTAAAAATGACTCTCACAAATAACTTACAATGAATAAATTAAAACAAATACGAACATCTTACTGGTGTGAGCATCACCCTGTGGCAAAGAGTTCATAAAAAAAAAAAACGAAGGCGGTATTTTGCACATCTCAGGTTGAAAATAAGAACACAATGTCGGACTGTATTCGTTGGCGGTAGAATACGGGAGCCTATGACTCTGTTAATAGTGTTGCTATCACTGCATTGCCAACCAAAGCTGTCCACGAGTTTCACGTTTGGAAGTACCTACTTTTGCGAACACCTGTTCTTCTTGCTGAAGGTTAACAAGTCAGCTCTTCTGTCGTGGTTGACCAGTGAACACCTGCGATCGACCGTTAGGATCGCCTCCGCACTAATAGTCAATGCGGATATTTCTTCTTTCGGGGCCGCTAAGCATTGCCAGGCGTAGGCCAGCGTTTTTGTAATCTTATCTATAGAACTTCAGCAGTTTTGTGCATAGAGTTCGATAAGTTTTCGGCGTGGTCCTCGCATCATTTTATCTCCTGTCGCGATTAATAACTCTGTGCTCGAGTAAACTGCAGAGACACGTCTGATCTTATCGGGAGGCACATTATACGGTCACAACGTGTTGACAAGTACATCATGGTATCGGCGTCCAAAGTTTACTACATACGAATGCGGCATTCAAAAAGCTTTCATAAATTACCAGTATATGTAATAAGGGAAAGGCCTCTTTTCGAATGGCAACGTTCGCAGAAATTTGGTACAAACTAAGCCCCCTGTCTCGCCCCCTTGTTTTCTTGCCTTTCTTTACTGTACCGACCCTAGCGAGACTGGATTTCTCGACTGCGGCCCACCAGCTGAGGGGAGTGTGATGCTCCTGTTCTAGACTATAGTAAGCGGAGGTCGCAAACCCTTGCAAAGGGGGTGCAATGTCCGCCTCGGTGGGTCAGTGGCTGGGGTGCTCAGCTGCTGACCCGAAGGTCGTGGTTTAGATCTTAGCCGTCGCGGTCTCATTTCGGTGAAGGTGAAATCGTAGAGGCCAGTGCATTGTGCTATGTCAGAGCACGTCAAAGAACGCTAGAAGGTCGAAATTTTCGGAGCTCTACACAATGGCGCCTCTCGTATCTTGGTTTTGGGACGTAAAACTACAGGTATTTGTCAAAGGCGATGCTAATGAATATCATCCGAACAACAGCGTAATTGCAAAAATTATCGCCACCACTACGACCGTGCACAAGTTGTGGCTTCTTCTGCGACCAACGCGCTGTTTTATTGCTATATCAATTATAGAGACACTCGCGACGCTTTTGCGCCGTCGCCGTTATGTCCCCTATAACGTCAGAATTGATAGGATCTCCCAGCACGTTGTACGTTCTACCCTGGGGCTAATAGCTCGCAGGCTGAAGCGGATATCAAATGAACGCGACTGAAGCGGCGATCAAACGAGCCGGCCCATCTCGGTCGCTTTGAGATGCATGCGGCGAGAACCCTTCGCCTCTTGGACCGGCCGTCGAATGCTCGAGCAGAGAGGAAATGGTGGTGGTGGTAGTGGTTAGAATGAAGAGGAAAAAGGCACCTAATTTCTGTCTGCCTTCAGGCGACACGGCGCAGTGCCTTATAGGGGTGGGGGGAAGGAGGGATAAAAAGAATAGAAGGAAAATAGACGGAGAAGAAGACAGCCAAGCGAGAGAAAAAAGAAGGAGATAGGAAAGTGGGGATCCGGTCGAAGCAGTCCAAGGGCGGGGTGCCACAATGCGAGAGCTGCACGGCGTCAGGAGACCGCGGGTGGCGAACCAGTCGGCGGGAGCTACGCTGATGTCGGAGATCGCGAGGGCACGACCGTCCAGCTTGAAATCCTGCGAGCGAATCCCGGAAATGCCACGGTCGTGTTTAACGAGCGTGAAAAGACGCGAGGAGAGTGCTGCTCGAGCAGAAACTGTGAATTTTGATTTTATGGGTGTGCCCGCTGTCTAGCTATCTCACCAGCCATAAGCGGGCGGCTCGTATACCCTTCTATGTGCTGCACTCTCAAAGCAAAGAGTGTGCGAAAACTGTCCCTGGAGCGGCCGTATTCTCTTACACCAGCTTTTTGTAGAGTTGCGGAAGATCGCGTCCGGAAGAGTTAGCAGCAAGCCTCGCTTCGTAGAACATTGCAATTTGTTGCGATGGCATTCGTAAGTTGTGTCTTTTTTTCTGTTATTTCTTCTTGAATCGCAATTAGCATTCGATGTTTTTTCCACGGTTGTGACTCCACGCAGGTTCCACCACGAATAGAACCGACATGAGTCACGTCATTCATTCGGACAACTGCCAGTTCCAGCAGAACGGCAGCTGCCCGGCGATTCGAAAAGACCTTGTCGCCCGGGAATTCAGCGCGGCCGTCTACTTGAACGACGACGTCCACGGAGGCGAGATGGTGCTGGCGACGACTCCTCGAACCAGTATTCGCGTGAGTTCATATTGAACACAGGTAGACGCATGGCGTGGTCCACTATGCATTACGATGTGATCTGTGGTAAATGCAGTGCAGAACAACGTTCCTGTGTTCGTTAAATGGGCTCATTATCCTTCATTAGGAACTGCGAACTCTCTTCAAGGCCGTGAAGCAGTTTGTGACTTTTTAATCGGCGTGTCGACATGCTTTCCTGCTTACGTACTGAAAAGCAGTGATGTGGAAACCTACCGAATAAGCGTCCAGATTCCTTCTTCCGGCATGGTCAAGACCAGACGTGCTTCTGACGTACTCTCGACTTCACTCTCGTTTGCGATGCTCGATGCAAACCCATTTGTGTCGTATTCTAAAGAGGGTTTTCCTAACCGCTGATCGTGATAAAAATAATGCGAGGGACGTCCCTGGCACGAGTTAGAAGCCGCTTTTAGCAATAAAATTGTGCCATATAGCGTCTCGCGGTGTTCAATTAGAACAGTGAAGCGTTTTTTTTCTTCTTCTTTGCAACTCGGAATGCTCATCGTTGCGCATGTCTCCTAAACGTATTTCAGCGCCGTTACTTAAGTTTATAGCTAAGCTCTCGTCCCTTCCATCCTATTTGTTTCTTTAGTATAATGAAGCGCCCGTACGCTTGCATACTTGAATCTCATAATGAACACGCATATAACGAATTATTGGTTATAGGGAAGTCGACCAATAGTCTTGCCATGGATACACAGTTAGTGATACACGTTTACAACGACTTTTTAGATATAACGAACGTATTTTTTGTGGCAGATGTGACTTTTTCATATTGAGGTTGGAGTGCATACTATCCCACCAATCCTACCGACAGAAAGCACGATATTTCATCCATTTCAATTAATTTAATTGTGCGTCACAATAAAGTACAGGTAAACACGTCAATGAACGTCCTTTATGTTTTCCCAAGCCTAATTGTCTGTTCATGTGCTCGTGGCGTGCATGGTTGAATGTAACGTGTCATTCTCTTTCTTCTAATTGGATTTCTCAATTTACCGTTATGTTCCAACACACCCAACTCAACGCTTCAAAGCAAAAAATATGTAAAGTGGTATAGAAACGCGCGTTAACAGTTACCATTGATGGAGTAATTGGCACCTGGAAATGATGCTTTCAGATGCGGAGCATCTCTTGCTCGGTTGTGTGTCGCACGTTATTTGTCCGCGCTCACACTACTCATGCGCAAATCTTCCTCTTCCCACTCTCTAACAGCTGCTCGTTACTCTCCCCACATCTCTGCTACTACCTGCTTGCACTCGTATCCCCCATATTGCGTGGGCGTCCCCTCCCCTCTTTCTCCTCTCCTACGCCCTCCCTCTCCTGCCTCGCAACATGTGAACCAACGCTGAGAGCGTCTGCTAGCGAGTTTCTTTATTTAAAAAAAAATTGGCAGATCCCACGTACAGTGGGAATCGATGATATGCGAAGCACGAATGAGAAATGTTGATATGTCACTTTAAAATCAGCAGAATGTTACGGGGTGGAGGTAAATGATGCCGTACATGACTTCCGTGTCATGATTATCATGTTTAGATGCGTCATTTACCTTCGTCATCTATTCACGTCACGCGATATCAAATTTAGTGTATGTGGAGCTAGCGAAACAGCCGCGAGCACGCTATGAGCGTGGCATGTTATCATGTTCTTACGTGACACACGAGCAGGCCCACGGAGCTGCCGATAGGCTTGGCCTAACGGTCCCGACGTGGGAATCGCCCGCTGCGCGATGACGCGCGCCTTGCAGGACCACAGTAAAGTTTCGCAACCAACGCCTGTCAGGATTATCATGTTTGCACCAGTCGTATATTTCGTCATCGATTGACGTCACGTAACACCAGATTTTGTATATGTGGAGCTAGCAAAAAGGCCGCGAGCGCATCACGAAGGGCTCAATCTACTCCAATGTAACGTTGACGCACGCACACGCAGGGCACAGCGACGCTACGTTAGCAAAACGTGAGCACTCTATAGTCTATCCGGATTTCTCGTGGACGCGGACGGGTAATCCGCGGATGGTCCGCCTGCAGGCGCATACACAAGACGGACGGTGTCCTAGGGGAAAACAGCCGGATTACCCTCGACAGCAGATTCGGCGCTCACCTGCGCCCGCTGGCAGCAGACCGGTTTGAGAGTGTTCAACATGGATGCCCACAAGAAGCGACTCTTGACTGCGATGTCTGTCGCGTTGTGACAAATGAACGAGGTGTTATTCTTTCAGGAGAAAAGGGAGTTGCTGGCAGAATGTTCTTTCTGTCACGCAGTTTATTTACGTACAGACCCACTGGAAGGCCGAGGAACGCCAGAAGAGCGAGGAACGCCAACAGGCCGAAAATACAAAACAAACGCAAGCTCGGGTAGCGCGTGCACCAACGCTGTGGCTTGCCGTTTCATGCTGCTTCGTCGTCGTTCGCATAGTTCCCTACATTGGCCCCCGGTGAATAGCGTAGCCAACCTGGCGAATTAAGGCGTAGTCACTATAGCGGGGTCGTAATACGGCTTCAGGCGACTCACATGCACAATTTCTCGGCCACGACGGCGTAAGTCATGAGACTGTGTCAATGGCTCAATCTCATAATTGACGGGTGACGTACGGGCGAGAATGCGGTAGGGCCCGTGGTATCGTGCCAGTAATTTCGACGAAAGGCCAGGAGTGCTCGGTGGAACCCAGAGCCAAACGAGAGCACCAGTCGTGAAAGTAGAGAGATGTCGGTCGGTGTCAAGCCGTAGCTTCTGGTGGCCTTGGTCCTCGGTTGTCAGAGAACGGGCCAATCGTCTGCAATCTTCTGCGTACCTGGCAACATCAGAAATTGCAGTGTACTCAGAGGAGTCGGGCGTGTATGGGAGGATAGTGTCCAGCGTGCACGATGGTTCGCGTCCGTACAACAGAAAGAAAGGGGAGAACCCTGTTGTCGCGTGCGTAGCGGTGTTATACGCATACGTGACGAATGGAAGGACAGTGTCCCAATTAGTCTGGTCTGAAGCTGTGTACATCGTCAACATATCACCGAGAGTGCGATTAAATTGTTCTGTGAGGCCATTCGTCTGCGGGTGATATGCTGTCGTCAGGCGATGAACCATGTTGCACTGAGCGAGCAACGCTTGAATGGCGTCAGACAAGAAAAAACGCCCCCGGTCGCTCAAAAGTTCGCGGGGAGCACCATGGCGAAGAACAAAGTTGCGCAAGATGAAAAATGCAACTTCCCTCGCGGTTGCTGCGGGTAGTGCTGCTGTCTCCGCGTAACGCGTGAGGTGGTCCACGCCGACAATTATCCACCTATTTCCAGAAGACGACGTGGGAAGTGGTGCGTATAAGTCGATACCGACGCGGTCAAACGGACGCGCTGGACAAGGCAGATGCTGAAGTGTACCGGCAGGGCGTTGAGGTGGGACTTTACGTCGCTGGCATGCAGTACAAGCACGTACGTACTTGCGGACAAATGTGTACATGCCGCGCCAGTAGTACCGCTGACGTAGACGGTTGTACGTTTTGAGAGCGCCAGCGTGAGCGCTTTGCGGGTCGTTGTGGAAAGCAGTACAAATTTCCGAGCGCATGTGGTTGGGTATCACTAACAGCCACTTCCGACCTTCAGACGTGTAATTCCGCCGATAGAGTAGGTCGTCTCGAATAGCGAAATGTGTGGCTTGACGGCGGATAGTTCTTGAGACTAAATTAGCTAACGGATCTGTCAGAAAGGCGAGGAGTTGGGAAATCCACACATCTTTGCGTTGTTCCGATACCATGTCTGTGAAGTCGATTGTTGTTATGACAGCTGAAGAAGGTGACGAGGAGGCTGGGTCAGCCGGTAGCGGCGAGCGGGATAGCGCATCAGCGTCGGAGTGCTTGCGGCCGGATCGGTGTACAACACGAATGTCGTATTCCTGTAGGCGAAGCGCCCACCGACCAAGGCGCCCCAACGGGTCTTTGAGCGATGATAGCCAGCATAGAGCGTGGTGGTCCGTGACGACTTCGAAAGGGCGGCCATAAAGGTATTGGCGGAACTTCGTCAAAGCCCAGACAATTGCGAGGCACTCTTTCTCCGTGACGGAATAATTACACTCGGCTTTCTTGAGGGTTCGACTCGCGTAAGCGACCACGTATTCTTGGTACCCTGGTTTTCGTTGAGCCAATACAGCACCAAGACCAACACCACTGGCGTCTGTGTGGACCTCCGTAGGCGCATCAGGGTCAAAATGTCGTAGTATTGGAGGTGATAATAATAACCGCCGAAGCGCGGTGAAGGATTCGTCGCACTCTTTTGACCAAGCAGAAATGCCTTTGGAAGCTGTCAACAGATTGGTAAGAGGCGCGATGATGGAAGAGAAGTTGCGCACAAATCGACGAAAGTATGAGCACAGGCCGATAAAACTTCGAAGCGTCTTGATGGAATTGGGCTTCGGATAGTCGGCCACGGCGCGGAGTTTCGCCGGATCCGGGAGAACACCCTCTTTGCAGATGACGTGACCCAGTATGGTGAGCTGACGTGCGGCAAAATGGCACTTCTTGATGTTAAGTTGAAGGCCAGCAGAGGTGAGACACGTGAGAATAGCACGAAGACGAACAAGGTGCGTGGAAAAGTCGCGAGAAAAAACGACGATATCGTCTAGGTAGCAAAGGCACGTGTTCCACTTGTAGCCGCGAAGGATGGTGTCCATCATCCGTTCGAAGGTAGCTGGGGCGTTGAAGAGTCCAAACGGCATGACGTTAAACTCATACAGCCCATCAGGTGTTACAAATGCAGTCTTCGATCGGTCAGGATCAGCCATTGGAACTTGCCAATATCCTGAGTGTAAATCTAAAGAGGAGAAATATTCTGCCCCTTGCAAGCAATCGAGAGCGTCGTCGATGCGTGGCAACGGGTACACATCCTTCTGAGTTATTTTATTGAGCCGGCGGTAGTCGACACAGAATCGGATAGACCCATCCTTTTGCGCACAAGTACAACAGGGGACGACCAAGGGCTCTGCGATGGCTGGATGACACCACGCTTGAGCATATCGTCGACTTGTTCGTTGATAATACGGCGCTCTTCCGCTGAAACTCGATATGGTCGTTGGCGTAAGGGTGCATGAGTACCGGTGTCAATGTGGTGCGTGATGTTCGCTGTGCGACCCAAAGATGGTTGAGCGCAATCGAAGGCAAAACGGAACTCTCGAAGAAGGGACAAGAGTTCGCTTCTTTGTGTCGGCGATAGCTCAGCGGCAACAGAGGGCTGGAATGAGTCTGGCGCGGGCAGTGTGGCCACAGGTGGCGTCATAGCATTAAGCTGGAGGTGAGGTGCGTGTTCGGTGAACTCTAGAGGGCGCAAGAAGTCAACGTCTTGTATGTTACCCAAACATTCTCCGCGAAGTAAGGTAACTGGCGACGATAGCGAGTTTGCGACGAGCATTGCGGTAGCACCGGATTCCACGGTGAGTACGGCAAAGGGCAGGTGTAGGCTACGGCGGCGGGTAAATACGTCAGACAGAGTGTATAAAACAGTTCCGGCAGGAGCGGCCGTACAGGTCAGGGCTAGAAGGGCGGATGTTCTCGGTGCTATTTCCGTGTCTGCAACAACGACAAGTTTGTAAGCTTCAGAAAGAGAATCCACCAAACAAGAGGTTGGCAGCGGTGTAAGGGCAACTTCTGCACGTGAGCAATCTATGATGGCCCGATGACGCGAAAGAAAGTCCCATCCAAGAATGACTTCGTGGGAGCAGGATGCCAGCACAAAAAATTCAATGGCATAAAGTTCACCTTGGATAATGACACGTGCAGTGCACACAGCTGTAGGTTCTATGCACTGCGAGTTGGCCGTGTGGAGCATCAGGCCCGAAAGAGGCGTCGTCACCTTTTTCAACTTGCGGCATAAGGTCTCACAGATTATGGAAACGGCGGCCCCTGTGTCGATAAGCGCTTGTGCGGCGGTCCCCTCAACATTGACGTCAATAACGTTTTGCGGCGAGAAAGATGGAGGCCTTAAGCAGTTCGAATTGTATGCAGCTGTTGCCTCCGGTGCTGCAGCGATCAGTTTCCCTCTTCCGTAGCAGGTCGGCGACGCATAGGTGACAGGGAGCGTCGTCGGGGCGATGGTGACCGATGGTTTGCGTAGGGTCGAGGACCCTCAGTGGTGTACCTTGATGGCGTCCTAGACGACGCCATTGGCCTGCCCACGGTGTCGACTGGAGGGGGATCTCAGCGACAGTGGCGGGCGACGTGTCCAGCGATACCACAGGCGAAACAGATGGGCCTATTATCCGGCGTCCTCCAAGCGTCTGAGCGACGGTAAAATGGAGCTGAAGATCTCGCGTAGGGATACGGCGCCGCAATTGGGGTTGTAGGCACGACATAGGGTGGCGTGGCAGGTTGAGCATACGGCATACGCTGTTGCGTAGGCCGAGCAGCGACGGCGGCGTACGTGAGAGGCGTTGTGACTGGTGGTTGCTGATGCACCGGCGGAAGGGCTTCAGCGACTTGGGTCCGAATGACGTGTTGGAGGTCCGGTGCCAAAGCTTGCGTGGGCTCATGTGTCAGTGGCAGCAGCGACAGCTGGCGCGCTACCTCTTCGCGGACGAAGTCCTTGATTGTCGAAAGCAGCGGCTGCTGGTCGGTAGGATGGGCAGCTAGGTGCAAGCTTGCGAGCGTGTCTGGCGTCGTGAGGGCTTGACGAGCAATTGCGCGCTGCCTACGCAATTCATCGAAGCTTTGACAGAGGGAAACGAGGACAGCAATGGTGGGGGGATTTCTCGCAAGCAACATCTGAAAGGCGCCGTCGTCAATGCCTTTTAATATGTGCCTGATTTTGTCTTCCTCAGGCATGGTAGAGTTGACGCGGTTGCATAGATGCAACACATCTTCAATGTAGCCCGTGTAGGTCTCGCCTGGTTGCTGCGCACGGTGACGTAAACGGGTCTCGGCTTGAAGCTTGCGTGCCGCAGGTCGTCCAAAGACGTCCGTAATAGCCATCTTGAATGCAGACCACGTAGTAATGTCAGCTGCGTGGTTATTAAACCACAGTTGCGCGGTGTCCGCAAGGTAGAATGTGACGTAGCCCAGCTTACTTGGGTCGTCCCATTTGTTACTTGCGCCGACTTTGTCGTACCTCGCCAACCAATCTTCAACGTCCGACTCAGTGGAGCCCGTGAAGATAGGAGGGTCTCGTTGAGGATACACGGCACCGCAAGTGACATGGACGGTCGAATGTCCCACCTGGAGAGGCGTCTCGGTGGCCATGTTCGTGTCACGTAGAGGGGGAAGCTTACGGGAGCGAAGTTCCAGGTTTGTACGGGAGTCCACACACCTCCACCAGATGTCACGCAGTTTATTTACGTACAGACCTACTGGAAGGCCGAGGAACGCCAGAAGAGCGAAGAACGCCAACAGGCCGAAAATACAAAACAAACGCAAGCTCGGGTCGCGCGTGCATCAACGCTGTGGCTTGCCGTTTCATGCTGCTTCGTCGTCGTTCGCATAGTTCCCTACATTTCAACTACATTGTTCCCCACTTGTAGAACTTCTGAACGCGTCTCCCATCCTTTTTTTAGAAGCGGCACGTCGCCGGTTGCAGAAGTTAGAATATTTCACCATCATGACGGTTAAGAATCTTGCGTGTCAAGCGACGGCGGCGACATTTCCCGAACCACCAAAAGTGATTTCCGCGTATTTAATCACCTGAGAACAAAGCCCCCGGAAACTAAGTAAACCATGCTCAAGCGTAGATGATGCTGACCAGTCATACAGCTATTCGCGAGCCATGGAGGACATGCCACGAGCAGACGAAAAGTGTACTGGTTGCCAGAAACCCCGAGCTTATCCGCTGAAGTATCGGCTTCCCCCGCCAGATTCCCGATGTGAGAAACAGGTTGCGGTCATCCGTCCGCGAGCCGCACGGACGAGACGCGGACGAGGGGAATCGCTGATGTGAGGTCACGTGATGCGCCGTCCGTTCCGCCACATCCGGATTCGGTCCGTCGTCTGAATGCACCATGACCGGCGCGAAATGCGACATGCTGCGTCTCGCGCCGGTGCGTTACCCAGAAAACACTGCGTCTTCCTCTTTTCGTGAAGGAGCGACGCCGGACGCGCTGAAACGCGCATGCGTCAAAGAAACGCAGAGCTGCGCGCGCCTGCGAGTATATGGCAGGACCGGCGCTTGGCGTGGCAACGCCGGCGTGACGCTACGAAATGGACGCCGGCGAGCACGCGCATGGCGTCACGTCGAATTGTATTGGCGCCTTGACCGTGGCATGTAGTCATGTTCTCACATGACACGCATGTCATGATCACCATGTTTGCACCACTCACATACCTTCGTCATTGATTGGTGTCACGTAATGCCAAATTTGGCATATGTGAAGATAGCAAAATGGCCGCGAGCGCATCATCAGTATGACATGTAGTCACGTTATATGACACGCATGTCGTGATTATCATGTTTGGATGTGTCATTTACCTATGTCGTCCGTTCGCGTCACGTAATACCATGTTTGGTACATGTGAAACTAGCGAAACGGCTGCGAGCGCATCATGAGCGTGGCATGTAGTCATGTTGTTACATGACACGCATCTCATGATTATCATGTTTGCACCAGTCACATACCTTCGTCATTCATTCACGTAGTGTAATACCAAATTTGGTATATGTGGCGCTAGCGAAACGGCAGTGAGCGCATCATAAGCATGATATGTAGTCATGTTGTTACATGACACGCATCTCATGATTTTCATTTCAGGGTCTGTCGCATGTGTTCACCATGCAATCATTCCATACCATACCAGTTTTGCAACATGCCATGTTTATGAAACCACCGCAAGAGCTGCAAGACCATGAAGTCTAAATCATGACATTCATGACATACATGTCATGATTTTCATGTTTTGACTAGTCAAATATGTTCTTCATATACTCATGCTATGCCATACCAAGTTTGCTTGCGATACCTTTATCGATACGGCCAGGAGAGCTAAAAGTCGTAAGCGGCTAGATAGATAGATAGATAGATAGATAGATAGATAGATAGATTAGATAGATAGATAGATAGATACGCTCAATGTTGCCGAAGTTCGGTAAGAAATGCTTCGCATTAAAAAAAAATAAACCGACTGCTCACGCTGCACAAGCGCGATGCTCTGTATCACCCCATGAGATGCCTTCATTTCATGCCTTCAGATGCCTTAATTTTGTTCCTCCTCGCCATCGCAGGCTGTCATACCCCCGAAGTGCGGCCGCATAGTAGCCCTGAACAGCCGCAACCCTCACGGTGTGCTGCCCGTCTTCAGGGGGCGCCGCTGCGCTCTACTTACGTGGATGACGTACCAGCGGGACGTAGAAGATCCGGATCTGTCGGAGTGTCGGAAGATGCTGGGATTCGATGACGGATACTCGCCCAACGTAGGCCAATATAATGATGCCTACAAGTCGGGATGACTAGAAGTCGCCGGCTACCGCCTCAACAGCGATATCCAAGTGCTCGGCTAATTAGAATACGAAAATAAATTTGTTTTCTTTATTGGTTGCCCCATAGTGGAAAACAACCTATTGGAAGCGCGCGTTACTATGCGGAAATTGCGAATATCAAGTCATGTACTGTAGCAATCGATATTCAAACCGAATGGTGTATATTTGCAAATGCGATATTTTGGCACTAGCTGCTAGCGGCACCGTTTCTGAAGCAGCGCACCGCGATTGGCCCCCAACCGACCGCTAGTTGAGCGTTGGTTAGAGCGTCAAACAAGCTCCCCCCTCTCCTACCCCATAAAAAATAAAACAAGATAAAAGTAAGGCAATGGTTTAAATTAAGATTTGCATAGATAGGACAAATGTCACATATATGAGTATGGGTTTAGGAAAGACACGGAACAATTAACTGTCACATTGATTAATGAAAACAACTGAATGAGTTCACTGAAAGTGCATGGTTTGCTTGCGGGTATGTGGCGTCAATATGGCGCGTACCCACTACAGACCAGTCTTCTTTTCATCATCAGTGGATTCATTGAAGTTGACGACCGCGTGATAGCCGGTCCTAACGCTATGAAACCTGAAGTCTACCGGAGTGAACCAAAAGGTCACCGTATGCTAAGCAACGAATGATAAGGCCCAACGAATGCTAAGAATGGCAGCGTAGGATTGAAGGCATGTACGCCTTTTTTTCACAAGCCTTTTTTTAACATGTGTTGCAGCTGAACTTATCTGTAAGACAGTCGTAGTCGACCCATACTCTATGACAGTTCGCAGTTTTGTGACTTTCTGGGCATGCACGGTAGACGGTGTTATGCGTGCTAGTGTCACTTTCCCCCTTTCTTTCTTTCTCTACAATTTTCATACCCTTTCCACCTTCCCCCGTGTTGGGTAGCAAACCGGGTTCCACCTTGTTAGCCTACCTGCCCTTGATTTTCTCTGTCTCTCGCCTTTTCATAGTATGCATTGGTATTCCGATGCGATACGACTGAGCTGTACATTATGTAAGAGTGGCAATAAATAAAGGAAATTGACAGTTTTCTTGGTTATCGCTAAATAGCCGATAGCGTATGAGCACACGAGAGGCTTTTTGGTTACTTTGACGAGCTCAGTGAATTGCAATCTCTTTCCCCTCACCCGTGAAGAAATGACTGTATGAATGAATAAATAAATGAGCAACCTTGTTCGTCCCTAGTTAAAAGAAAAAAATGACAATGGTACAGAACGCAGGTCAGAGGGATCAGTTGCAGTAGGTCCCATCTACCTTCTCAGCCCACTGCAGAAGGGCCTCCAGAATGTGGAGCATCGAGCAGCATAAGGCTGGTTCCCACAGCTCCTCAGTAGAATTTAAGCCGTCCAGGAATAGAGGTAGAGAGTGCTTAGGACAGTGCCTTTTGATATGGTTTAATTCTACTAGAGTGTACTAGAACACTCTAGCAGAATTAAACCATATCATTCTCCATATCAATTCTGGCGTGGAAAAAACTTGAAATTAGCTAGAAGGAGAACCGTGACTGGAGGGATGAATGCAATTTAGGAGGTAAGGGTAAAGAAAGGCGACCAAGGAACACAACTGGGGGGAGGCCCTTCCTCTCTTCCTCCGGAGCATAAGGTTAAAAGAGGGTCTTGGCCGCAGCACCACTGAGCTGGTCTATGGCACGACACTGGAGCTGCCGGAAGAATTCTACGCGTGGGTCAGAAGAGGCATTCATAGCTTGAAGTTACCACACAATCCGCCTACGCAATGTAATCGGCAAACTTCGCGCAGTACCTTCATGGCCTCTAGAGTCATGTGTGGTGCTCGTTGACATGGAGCTCGCATCGTCTCCATGTGTTCGTACGACATGATGTGGTTCGGCGACCTCTTCAGCCACCTTATATACAATAGGCCGTTTAAACTCCTCTGCCGCGGCGAGAAACATTTTACCATCAGTGGTTGTGGTCGGGAGGCAGTTGTGTCGCTGGACCGCATCAAGACTGTATACACATGGACACAGTGACGATGCAGTGGTGTCCCCGCCGAAGGAATTCTCACCAGGAGCCCCAGCTTCAACGCCAGCCCAAGCTAACGACGGGCTCCCGCAGCTGATGCGCAGAGGACGGCCATCAAGAGCACGCACTCGCCTGAACCTTTTAAGAGATCCTGGAACACTTTTTGGGTTAGGTCGGAAAACGCTGTCCATCGGTAGTCGAGGGTCCCGAGAAAACGCGACCCAGATTTTACTATAAATTCTCAAAGTAATCTAGAGATCGCTTTTTCTTTCCTCGACAAATGACGCCACAGGCTATAAAATGACTGCGTCACAGGCCTAGCATCAGTCATTAACTGATTTGAGCATGGCGCGCTCTGTCGTTACTGGGGCCGCCGGCGCAAGCCACGAAATGTACATGCGTGCGCAATTGCGACCACACTGAAAAGCCGTGAATTCAATTTACGAAATACAAAGAAAAAAAGGGCTTGAGGTTACGAGGCACCCGAGACATATTTCCTTCCCCCGTGCCATCCCTCCCTGCTAAGCTTAACGCTTTCGTCGGAAAGAGAGAAGAGAGAATGCAAATACAACGTGTTGTAGTGGAGCATACGCACTAACGTGTATGCGCCTTCCAAAGAGAAGGAAAAACCCCGTGCTCTGATTGCACGAGAACCTGGGCCGCCTTTTGCCAGACTTGTCGTACGGCCATTTTTCGTTGCGACATCGTTGCGACTTCTCCGGTTCAATAAACGTCATCACATTTGGTGGAGGTGCTGGGTATTGGCAGGTGCCAATGACTGAATGTGATCGCCCTAAAACAGCCTTTGTAACGCCAGATGGTCTATATGAGTTCAAAGTGATGCCATTTGGGCTCTGCAACGCACCTGCCACATTTGAGCGCATGATCGATACCATCTTGCGTGCCCATAAGTGGAAAACTTGCTTGTGTTACCTGGACGACATCGTAGTCTTTTCGTCTGATTTCCCGACACATCTTGTTCGCCTCCACGAGATTCTGACGTGTCTAACTTCTGCGGGCCTACAACTTAACTCCAAAAAGTGCCACTTCGCAGCACGAAAACCAACCATCTTGGGACATGTCATCACAAGAGACGGTGTTCTTCCGGATCCCGATAAGCTTCGGTCTGTCGCTGACTTCCCGTTGCCCACATCACTGAAAGCTCTAAGTTTCGTCGGTCTCTGCTCATACTTTCGTCGCTTTGTGCCCAACTTCGCGTCCATCATCGCACCTCTAACAAGTCTGCTCTCCAACAGCAAAGGTATATCTGCATGGTCACCTGCATGTGACGACGCATTTCGCCAGCTGCGCCGCCTGCTGACCTCACCACCCATTCTTCGTCACTACGACCCCGCTGCTGCCACAGAAATTCACACCGATGCAAGTGGCATCGGTCTTGGTGCAGTTTTGGCACAACGGAAAGGCACCCAAGCCGAATACGTAGTCGCCTATGCAAGTCGCGCTCTCAAGAAGGCTGAATTGAATTACTCCGCGACAGAGAAGGAGTGTTTGGCCATAATCTGGGCCTTGACGAAGTTTCGCCCGTACCTTTACGGCCGCCCTTTCGACGTGGTCACAGACCACCACGCTCTATGTTGGCTGTCCACATTGAAAGACCCGTCCGGACGCCTGGGACGTTGGGCACTTCGATTGCAAGAATACGACATCCGTGTAGTATATCGTTCCGGTCGCAAGCATGCAGATGCCGATGCACTTTCGCGATCGCCTTTGACCCCAGATGTGGCTTCTCTGTCACCACTTTTTACCACCTTGTCACCAATAGACACCACTGACATGCTTTCGGAGCAGCGTAAAGATCCGTACCTTGCATTGTTACTCGACTACCTTACCGATCCGTCTGCTGTCCCTTCCACGAGAGCGCTACGCCGACAAGCAGCGCACTTTTCCGTGCGAGACAGCATTCTGTACCGCCGCAACTACATGCCTGGTGGTCGGAAGTGGCTCCTTGCTGTCCCAACTCATATGCGCTCTGACATCTGCATGAATTTCCATGCAGACCCTCAAAGTGCTCACGCAGGTGTCCTGAAAACCTACGAAAGGCTGCGCCAACGATATTACTGGCGAGGAATGTATCGCTTTGTGCAGAAATACGTTCAGTCTTGCACCACTTGCCAACAGAACAAGACACCTCCGCGGCACCTTACTGGCATGTTACAGCCGCTCCCATGCCCGGCTCGCCCATTCGACCGCGTGGGTATCGATCTCTATGGCCCCCTCCCATATAGTCGCTCTGGAAACCGGTGGATTATTGTCGGCGTCGATCATCTGACACGCTACGCTGAGACTGCAGCTCTACCAGCAGCGACCGCCCACGAAGTTGCACTCTTCATTCTCCGCAGCTTCATTCTCCGCCATGGGGCTCCACGGGAATTACTCAGTGATAGGGGTCGAGTGTTCCTGTCGGAGGTCATCCAAGCTATTCTCGCTGAATGCAACATCATCCACCGGAAATCTACCGCATACCATCCACAGACGAATGGTCTCACTGAACGGTTCAACCGCACACTTGGCGACATGCTGAGGATGTACACCTCCTCCGACCACACTAACTGGGACGCTGTCTTGCCTTTTGTTACCTTCGCTTACAACACCGCGACGCAAGCGACTACCGGTTTTTCCCCGTTCTTTCTGTTGTACGGCCGCGAACCATCCCACCCACTCGACACCATACTCCCGTACCGCCCTGATGTATCGGAGTGCTCCCCACTTTCGGAAGTCACCAGATACGCTGAAGACTGCCGTCAGTTGGCTCGGTCTATGACAAGTGAGGCTCAAGGTCTACAAAAAACCCGGCATGATGACGCTCATCACATAGCGCCTACGTTTCGTACTGGCTCCCTCGTGTGGCTTTGGGTGCCCCCGCACGTTCCTGGCCTGTCTTCTAAACTTCTGGCCCGGTACCATGGTCCATACCGGGTCATTGACGCAACCTCACCAGTGAATTACATCGTCGA